TGTCCTTCTACTTTAGCAAGCATGATGCCCTTCTTCAGGAACTGGTCTCTCCTGACAACATGTTCAAAGTACATGAGATGACATCTCGCCACCCTTGCTTCTAAGGAGCTTTCTGGCTGTGTTTCTTCTAAGACAGATTTGTTCATTCTAGCAGTCCATGGTATATTCAATATTCTTCACCACCATCATAACTCAAAGGCATCAATCTTCTTCACACTTCCTTATTCACTGTCCAGCCTTTACATACATATGAGGTGAATGAAAATACCATAGCTCAGGCTGGGCACACCTTAGTCCTCAAAGTAACATTTTGCTTTTGAACACTTTAAAGAGTCTTTCATAGACCCTGCTATTTCCCTTCAATGTATTTACCCCAAGTCTTCATATATTTATTGTGGTCATTCATTTGAGTCTGTTTTTCCACTAGACTAAGCTCACCAAGAACAGGGACTTTTTGTTTTGGTCACTTTTGTATTCCTAGGGCTTAGCAGCAGGTGGTGTAACAATTAAGTGCAAGGCTGCTAACCAAAAGGTCGGCAGTTTGAACCCATCTAGGAGCTCTGGTAGCGTAGTGCCTAAGGCACTTGACTGCTAATCAGAAGGCTGGCGGTTCAAACCCACCTGCCACTCCTTGGAAGGAAAGTTGGTCAATCTACTTCCGTAATGATAATCGCCTTGGAAACCCAAGGAGGGGTCAGTCGCTATGAGTTGGGTCTGACTTAACAGCACATGACAACACAATAGTATGTGTTGAAAATAGTATGGAAAAAAGACCTGGCGATCCAGTCCTATAAAGATTACAGCCTAGAAAACCCTATGAGGTAGTTCTACTTTGTCACATGGGGTTGCTATGAACTGAAGTCAATTTCATGGCACTTAACAACAAAACAATAGCACAGTACTTAGCCTGTACTATGTGCTGCATAAATATTTGCTGAATAAATGAATGACTATTGCCATGAGACAAAATGGCTGTTTCAGTTTTACAGTATTTGTTCTTTTTATTATATTTTAGTTCATAGGGTTGCTCTGAGCTGGAAGTGACTCAATGGCAGTGGGCTTGTTTTTTGGTTTTTACTGCATTGTAACCCCGAAGGGGATAGAAGAAAATTACATGATCTTTTTCCTCCATCACTATCTCAGTAATCTAGTGGTGCTATAACAGAAATACCAAGTGGGTGGCTCTAACAAACAGAAATTTATTTTCTCACAATTTAGGAACCTAGACGTCTGGACTCTGGGACTGGCTCTAGGGGGAGGCTTTCTCTCTGTCTCCTCTGGGGAAAGGTCCTTGTCTCTTCAGCTTCTATTCCTTGGCTCCTTGGTGAGCTTCATGTGGTATGGGATCTCTCTCCCCCCATCTCTGCTCTGTTCACTTACAGTCTACACTAATCCTGCCTCATCAACATAACAAAGACAATCCATTACCAAATGGGATTATAACCACAGGCATAGAGGTTAGGATTTACAACACATTTTTGACGGGACACAATTCCATCCATAACAATTACTGAGTCCTGGGATGGCAATTTTGCACCTTTGTTGAAAAGCTGATGGGCTTGGACGGCTGTCAAGTTCTCAAAGGGGCACAATAATTCTACTAGTAATACCATGAGGCAACCGGGGAGCAGTTAGAAAGGCTGTTAAAGTTACACTTATTTTTGGTTCTTGGGCACTGAAAACTGCAAACTCTTGCCATTACAATTAAGAGAGAATTAGTATAGTGTTGAAAAAGCTTTTTTTAAAAAAGAAAGAAAGAAAGAAAATTGCTTAAAGAACCGGGGCACCTTACGCCAACTCTCTGAAACGAAATTGAGACGTATACATCCTTCCTGTGCTCCGGGAAGCGGAGTCTCTTGCACCAGCTCCTCAGCCCAATGGGGGGCGGCAGCATCCAAGTAAACTCACTCCCTGAAGATTTGTAGGAGAGATTCGCGTTCAAAATCTTTTTGACTCTAACCGCTCTCCGTAGCGCCTTAGCCCGCTCTAGTTTCAATGCGCGCTGTTGCTTGACGAAGCTGACTCCCGTATATCGCCGGCTGCCTTCCTGATCATGGCTTCTCCGAGTTCTTTCACCTTCTATTGCCCTCCCTCCTCCTCCCCGGTCTGGTCAGAGCCGCTGTACAGTCTGAGGCCGGAGCACGTGCGGGAGCGGTTGCAGGACGACTCAGTGGAAACAGTCACGTCCATTGAACAGGTGAGGTGGCAGGAGAGGGTGAGGCGCCTACGCGGGGGCTTCTGGGAGCGGGAGTCCGGTCAGCAGGACCTCCTGGCTGTAGAACTCATGAGGGAACTACGACTCCCACATTGCATCGCGGCTCCTTCCCCCGGGAGGCTCTGGGCACCCAGGCTGGGGCTTTGGTGTGGATTGTTTTAGGGGCCAGGTTGGGGAGGGGTCGATAGCAGCAGGGGTGTGCTTGGAGGAGAGGACAGTCCCGGGTCCTCACTGCCTTAAGGAGAGGAGAGAAACATGTTCTATCCCTGGAGGATTGAAGCAGTGTGGGCGGGTCTGACAACCCACTCCTTTATGGCTGGGCAGCGGGAGGTTCTCGGGTGCATCACCGACATACTTTCCTGCAACCTGTTAGAAGTTTCACGATGTAGAGGGGAAAGACTGCAACCATGCTGTTTCATAATCTGATTAATATCAGACCTACAAAGCTAAGTTTGGGGCCTGCCTCCTGGCTTAGCATTCTGGAAGTCATTCATTCTAATCATTTGAATTTGAGCATCAGCTATGTGTGTTGGACACAGTGGTAAACCCTGGAAATACAAAGTGAAAAAAACCCTTGACCAGAAACAGTGCACAGTCCAGTAGGGGAAGAATGGAAAACAATACCAAAGTACCATAATGAAAGTATGAATTTTCTACTACTTGTCATTCTCTAAAGACCGAACCTATCATTTTGAAAGTGTTTGGGGGATGAGCAGTGAACAGTAGTTTTGTTTTTCTTCTCATTCTCCAATTGGGATTGCTCCCAAGTTAGTTATTGTAGCTATGTTACCCATCTGTCACCGGAAGAAGTCACGGTGATACTTTGTGGCACTACCAACACCGCATAAGTCTGCTTGCTAAAATAAGATATCTTAGTAACTCTGTGGGAACTGGCTTTGTCTTTTTTATCTGTAGTTGGAACCGTCCATCTAAGCAAAAAATTAATAGCCATAATTATAGTTATTATGTTGCATATTTATGACTATAAATTAATAAGAAAAAGAAGAGCTTGAATACACATGGTAGTCAGAGTAAATATTTTAACCAGACATTTATGCTTCATGAATTTTAGGATAAAAAGGAAACCTTCACCTTTTGAATCTAGGTTTATTCCTTAGGTTTGTTACCCCACTACTGCATCCTTCTGCAGAAGTCTTGCAGAAGGTTGCAAAGAAATCTCTCATCGACAAAACACCTATGGGGATTTTTACAGTGATAGATTGTGTAATTGATTCAGGCCAAGTTTTTTTTTTCTGACCTTAGACTATGGGGTCACCTTTAATATAGTTAAATTAATTTACTCAGCAGATGATAAAGTGGATGGAATGTTGATGGGGAAAAGGGAATCAGAAGTTGGTTGTTAATTTAGAGATCAGAACAGAGGCTTCCATGGTTATGTTGTTGTTGTTGTTGTTATGTGCCGTCGAGTCGGCCCCGACTCATAGCAACCCCTCCTTGGGTTTTCGAGGCAGTATCACTACGGAAGTAGGATTGCCCAACCTTCCTTCCGAGGAGTGGCTGGTGGGTTTGAACCGCCAGCCGTCTGGTTAGCAGGCAAGTTAGTCAGTTAAATACAGGAACGTTATTAGGAGCTTTTCTGATCCGTCTGTTTCTCTTCCCTACTTCTGTTTTTCAGTAGAGTGCCCCACATAGTAACAGAAAAGACCAGCATTTATGTTCTAAGTGACTGGGTGCAATAAGTGATACAAACAATGGATACCTCAGGCTTTTGGCCTGCAAAAAAGTGGGTCAAGGGCAGGGCTTGGATTGAAAGCTAGGTCTGAAATGGAACTTTGGTATATAGGATGTCTCTCAAACCGAGGTGCCGCTGCATGGTGGATCATAGGGCATCTTATATTTCTTTTTGTGTTGTTATCCCAGCTCACATTTTAAAGTGTAGGATAAACCGTTCCAGATAGTAGGAAGATAATGTGTTGTCATTCTCAGGGGTGCCTCAGTGTTTTAATAACCATCATGATGACCATTTAGTGGGTGCCAGCATTGCTACATGTTCATACATTGTGTCATTGAATCCTCATACATTTTACAGAGGAGGAAACTGAGGCTTAGGGAAGTACCAGGTTGGTAGGTTAATAATGATATAAACAAACCCAAACTTAGAGCTGTTGAGTCATCCCTGACCCATAGTGACCCTGCAGGATGGCGTAGAACTGCCTGTAGGTTTTCCAAGACTGTCATCTTTACAGAAGCAGACTGCTACATCTTTCTTCTATAGAGCAGCTGATGAGTTCAAACCACCAGCCTTTTGGTTCGCAGTTGAGCTCTTAACCACGTGCACCACTAGGGCTTCTTTTACAAAGGGTACTAGTGTTAACCTTGTGGTTCTGACTGAAGCTTCTGTTTATTCACAGGGCTTTACTGACAGAGCTCGTTTGTGCCATTGCTAATAAAACCAAGTGCTTGTCACCTGCTTCCTACCTGGTCATCAGGAAACCTTATTTATTTGTTTATTAAACAATAATTGGATAATAACAATTAAACCTTAAATAGTGTGGAAAGGGTCCTTAGCTGTGGGTTCTTTATTCCATTCATTCATTGTCATTCATTCAACAAATACTTGAGTGCCTGCTATATTCTAGACACTGGGCATATGGCAGTGAACAAAAGAGGTCAAGTTGAAACTTGTTCTAGGCCTGGGAGTTGAATTGAAATAAAAGGGGGAAGGGCAGAGAGATAGTGAGAAATATTGTAGAGGAAAAATGAAGCCAGGATTAAGAGAATAGAGTGTGCCAGAAATAGGGGTGCGGGTAGGAGTCGGGTGGCAAGGGAAGGCTTTAATGGCAGGTGATAAGGGGAAACCTCTGATGTGACACTGATGCTGAGACAATGATGCTGAGTCAGTGAGGGAGCAAGCCATGCCTGTGTCTGGGGGAAGAGCATTGCGGGCAGGGAAAGCAGCAAGTGTGGAGGACTGAGGCGGAGTGAGCCTGGTGAGCATAGAACCCCTGTGAGTAGAGGTTAGCAGCAGAAAGGAGTTGAGGTCGGATCATGTAGGGCCTTAGAGGCCATTGCAGATCCTTGGAAGTGCCTCTATTGAGGTGGGAAACCATTTGGCTGAACAGCTTCCGTTTACGTCCCCACATTTACTCTTTACCCTTCTCTGCCCTGTTCTTTGCCCCAGGACTTGGACCAGAATCAATAGGCTGCCTTGCCTTGTGGCCTCTGGTTGTATCTGGCCATCATGGAGTATTGATAGGCAATGAGAGAGACAAATTTAGTCCCTCCCTGCGGGGTTGCATGGCTGGCAGTCTCCTTAGACTTCAGGTCACATTTCCTGTCAGGTTACTTCTCCACAGAGCTGTCTGTGCCCTTTGCCACTCCTTCTCCTCACACTTTCAGGGCTAGGAGGGGATCAGGTACCCCTGTGTTAACAGCCTCAGAGGACTGCACCATCCCTTGTGGTTTCCCTACACCGTGCCCACCCTTTGCAAAATAGTTCCTTTATAAACTCTCCTTAAATTACATAATTCAAATATGCCATCTGTTTCCTGCCAGGGCCCAGACTGATCCATGACTGGAGGGTTTAGAGAAATGGTAACCTCATTTAGGTTACTGTTGGGAGTGGATTGTGGGGAGGTGAGGTGGATGCAGGGAAACTGGTTAGGAGGCTATTGCAGTACTCTAGGTGAGAGGTCATGGTGGCTTAGATATCTCAAGATGGTGGTTGGTTGTAGAAGTAATGAGGACTTTTTTAAAGGTCTCTGCCTTGACAAGCTGTTTTGCTGGTGTATTTGGGCCTTCTGTGACTCTTGAAAGCAAGATACTATGGTATTGTTAGTGGCTCCCTTTCTTCTTGTGCCATCTGGAATCACCCCATGCAAATGCTCTGTGATTCAGGCCAGTGGGTTAATACTGGCACAGTCTCAGGAGGTAGCAGCCTTGCCAAAGCCTGTTTACAGGAGCTACTACTCCTGTTTTCCTTTTCATGTGCCCTTTGGAATAGTCTACTGGGGCAAAAGCATTGTCCCCTGGAAATGCCAGGATGTCATTAGACAACATCTAGTCAAGTGGCAATCAACTCTGAGGGGGAATATAGAGGGATTATCTGTCTTGGCCCCTGCCCTCAAAATTCTTTTCTTTTAGAGGAGAAGAAAATGCCTGACGCCATCACAGGATAACTTACCCCAGCATGTAATTAGGTACTACCGTAGGACTTTCCTGCACTGAGATTTCAGGGAGTGTGTGGGCTGAGCGGTCAGAATGACTTCCTGGACAGCGTGGGACTGGAGTTGGGTTGTAAAGGATGAAGTTGGGGACAACCATTCCAGTGGAAGGGGCTGTTATGAGGGAAGGCTCAGGCTTGGCTGGGAACTGTGAGGAAAGGCTTATCAGAAAGGAGGGTACACATTGGTGTGCCGTAAGAAATTAGGTCAGCTTAAAGGAAAGGGCCTTTAAAACCTGACTAAGTAGCTGGCTTCCAGTGATGCGAGGTGAGCCTCTGCAGATCCTGCAAGAGGGAATGGTAGGCGTTCCAGGAAAGAGTCCTGGAATCCTGCTGGTGAGAGACTTCAAGTTAGAGTCTCTGAAAGATTATTAAATTGTGATGAAACACGTCACTAAATATGATTAAGCTTACTGGTTTCTTTTATGCTTCTGATAGAAGGAGCCAGAGCTCTGCTTGGTTGAATGGTCGGTAGGCTAGGTATATGAATCCATTTTTTCCTGCAATCTTACTACTTATGAAATTCAGCATATACCATATGTACCCAACTCTAAGGCAATCGCAAGTATAGAGTAGTCTCCCCTTTCCCTATTAAAAAAAGGCAGAAAGTAATTTTGGGTCAGCTTGAAAATATAGTATATTTAGGGATTGCATTCATTTCCTAAGGATGCTGTAACAAAGTACCACAAACTGGGTGGCTTCCAACCACAGAAATTTTACTGTTCTGGAGGCTACAGTCTGAAAGCAGCAGGACCACGCCCACTCTGCAGGAGGGGCAGTCCTTTCTTGCCTTTGCTGG